AACACAGCTTGCAGGGGAGTGTGGGGGTTTTGGAGCTAAAGTCTACTGTGATAAAGGAAAGATAGAAAGGTAATATGAGTATAAAGTGGGTGAGCTTAGAAAGGACTCATCCAGACAAAAAAACAAAAACAAAACAAAAGCACACCCCATCTTACTTCTTTTGTTTTTAAGTGTCACTAGCTTAATACCCTTGAAAAAGACTGGTAAGTAACTATCGTTTAACAGGAAGCTAAGTGCAGTTACTCTACAGGACATCTTACAATAGAGCCTTCAAATCCAGCACAAGGATGATGACTACAGGTGCATCTTTATATTACCTGCTAAACCTACCTGTTCCTCATATCCTGCGGTCTGATGGGGCTGAGTACGCTGTAGGTGGACCTCATGGAGTTGACAGAGGCACTATCCGACCCCATGTTCTCCAAAAGCCGGCTGTCGCTCAGGTTCCTGTGGAGCCTTTCTCCAAGCTTCTCTCTGGCCGGCATGGCATAATCCAAACAATCCCTGTCAATCCTATTAGCTGCCCTCAAAGTGGCTGACGCAAAGCTCTTCTCCAGAGCAGGCAGTGGTCCGGTGGGTTGCACCGGAGACAGGCGCACCTTGGCGGCCCTCCACTGCTGGACTGTAAGGTCGCTCTGCTGGCTGCAGGGTCTCCTTTCATAGTCAGAAAGACTACTCCCTCTGTCCCGGAAGGCTGGGGATCCAGTTGGAACAGCAGAATGGGGTCTTCCACTGGGATCCCGCTCATTCCTCACTGCAGCTGTACCCTGGAGAACAAACCCACTCGGAGCTACAACAGTTTCATCCTCTTTAAGCGAGTCTGTGGAGGAGCCGGTCTCAGCTGGGTCGCTCAGACTCTCTTGGCTGTTTCTCAGCCTCCTGGTTCTCACAGTCTCCTCCAGTGAAATGCTTTTCCTGGACTTCGACAGTCTGGGTAGCAAGGGGGGGCGGGGCTGATACGGACTGATCCCTTCCCCTGTGTTTCTAAGCCTAAGGTCATCCTTGTGCCCGTTGGTGGATTTTACATCTACTATGGAGGTATTGAGTTTGCTGCTGTCATTGGCAATTGAGTCTCCTTTACCAGGAGCCTCACAGGAGTGATGGAGGGGGCCGTCCTCTCCATCCTCAGTCATCCTCTTCTCATGTCTGAGTCCAGCTGTGGTGAGGTGGATGAAGCGCTCTCATTTTCAAGTGGCACAAGACCTGTTCAGACACACGGCGGAGTTTGTTTTAGTGACATGGCCTTCAAACGACCACTTTACTGTCTGATATACTTTGTGATATCAGCCACGGCAGAGGGTTACTGCATCAAATACCCAATCAGTGGAAACAGCAAACATTTTGATTTCAAGCAATTAAAAGCAAGTGCTGTAGCTAACAACGACAAAGCACATGAGCTAACGCAATTACTGCTTGTTTCAACAACTTTAATGCTGAACGGAAAGTCCCGTTAAAGTCCACTTTAACAATTCTACTTAAGCCATCACCTAAATCACGTTCACATACACAACAATATCATCTGTTAAGCTTTTCTCTTCACTGGATAACAACCTGCAGCTGCAGCTAACAAAGCTAAAATGCTAAAGCTGTGCTAACTAATGCCTAAAGCGTACGTTTCTGTGACCACATTAACAAACGGATAACTTTGGTAGTTTCTGTCGTTTGCACTAACAATTTATGTCTCTTTTATCAGGCTGAAAGTAAAGCTACCTTTTGTGCACTGTTGGTGTCTGGGTGACTGACTAAAAAATAGCTCCGTGACTTCCTTAGCAACGCTTGACAACACAGATTTTTGTTACCAAGAGAGTCGCAGTCTGAACTCAGCATGTATCACAGCGCCCCTGTGTGCTAAGAAGGGGTATTACTTCCATACCTGTGCGTCAACTACTAGGATAACCAACTGCTTTCTCATTTCTGCAGCTTACACATCTTCGAATAATTTCCAGGGAGCTTCTTCTTATACGAGGAGAGAGGACTCCAGGCAACAGACATCTGACCTAAATTAGCCTACTAAGAGGCTAATTTTTACTAAACTTACACTGTAGCACAATGCACTGGCATAAGAATTCTGTAACACTGTGAGTGCACATTTTCAACATATAAGCATTAGTAATACTTAAAAAACAAAAAGACAAGGCAACTCACCTATCAGAACATCACCAAAATTATTGACAGCACTGCTCAAATCCAAAGTACATCCTGCGCTCCTATTTCCTTCCTCTTTTGAGCACCACTTTTTTGCTTTGGCTCACTAAATATATCATTTAAAATGCCAAGAAAAAAATGTTATATAATTGATATCAAAAGACTCATGGGTGTTTTATAAAAATGACAGAGAACAAAGGTCAGGAAGTAACATGCCCACCCCTCATCAAAATGTCATAAAACATGCCTATTTTAATCACTGTAGTGTAATACGATTGAGTAGATATTTGCTTCTACTTTTTAATTTCTAATTCTCTTACAATTTGTCTACATTGTCTTACATCACAATCAAGAGCATAGCCTTTGTTCTCAGCGAGTAGACCTAAAGATGATCTAAGCTTTGATCTGCTCAGATCAAAGCCTAGATCATATATATATATATATATATATATATACACTATCCAGTATATTTTTGAATGATGTATTTAAAAGCATTAGTCAGCTTACAAAGATTTTTTTAAAGAAACATACATGGGGCTATAAATTATAATGCTTTAAATTATAATCCAGTCAGATACATTTACTAGTTTTTGATAAACACGTTTTTTGTTTTGTTTTTTACTTTTACTGCCAATAGTGAAAGTAAAAGTAAAAGTATTGTCTGAGTACTATGGTTGTTTTATTGTACTTTTTATATTTTACATTATATTTATTTTGCATTTTGCACCAAGGGAGTGGCACTCCAATTTCGTTGTACTTTGTACAATGACAATAAAGGCTATTCTATTCTATTCTATTCTAAAATTGTACTTTTTCCTGTTAATGAGAAAATGACTCCAAGGTTTATTTTTCCATTTATTCAGCACATCATTAATACTGGAGGCTCAGAATATGAACACCTACAATTATAATCAGAAAATAGATTTTGGATTTGCTCCCCAAAATATCTGATTCATAAAACAAAAGCTGTACCAAAGCGTATTACGTTATCTGTTTTACCTTCTTAAACTTTTGGTTTATTTCCTGCTTTAAATTAAACAGTTTTGCTTAGAATTAACAAAAAAAGAAAAAATATTTGCAAATGGATGTGTCAGCCCACAAACAATCTGATGACAAATGTCATATGTATCCAGCACCAAAATTCATAAATGTAACATAAATATCAACTTTGCTTTTAATTAAGGCAATCATACTTTACATTTATAAGTAAATACATTATATAATGTTATGTGTTTTTTTTTAATACCACACATCTTTTAAATCTTTGGATGACTGTATTCAGTCCAGCCTTTATTACAAGTAAAAATCACGTCAAGAAAAAGTTCTGCTGTGTATTTAGATAGATAAATAGATAGATAGATAGATAGATAGCGCTCACAAATAAGTACTGTAAAATCTGTAACTTATTTCCCTCTGCCTGGTTACATAATATCATATTTCCCACAACCATACCTTTTGCTCCCAAATTACGTTTA